TTTCTACTCAACCTGCTAACCTTCTAAAACCTATTTATACTTGTTTATTATAACTTTACTTTAAAACTAACCCCTAACCCTAACCGTTAACCCTAAAAAATACACCCCAAAAAAATTTTATTTTTCGAGATTTTATATTATAATTTCATTTTGATCTGGATTTCATTATGATCCGTCACATTCATTATATAATTCATATAGTGAATGTTTATTTGTAACGCCATATGATTGGTCGCACTCCAGTGCCAAATGAAAAATGTCAGCTATATTAATTTAGCTATTTCTTTTTTTTTTAATAATCAAAAAAATTTTTTAATCCAAATTTCCTTTTTTTTTTTTTGATGCAGAATTAAATTATAAACCTATCACTATACATTACAGACAAATAAGTGCTAATTATAACATTTACATAATATAGATTTTGTTAAACAATATTAATTCTTTATTTCTCCCCTGCCTTGTTAAATGAATATCATAGTAATATATTTTTATTCTTTTGAACGATCTATATTAAATGTAGCGTGTAGTAACGCTGTGAATTTATTAATTTTGAGATATGTTTTGGCTACCATCTCTAGGTATGTACGGAATATTTCGTTGAGCCATTTCATCCTCCACTAGTTCCGGGATCCTTCCTTGAACACCAACTGCATATATACCACACGCGTAGTTTTCTAAAGAATTAATGTATGATCAATCGAGATTCTATTCATAATTCAGAACGACATATTTTCGGGTCTCGTTGCAACAACACTATTATTATGGTTTTTATAAAAAGGTTGATGTGAAAATTCAGAAAGAAGCTTACCTATTTTTTTATATCGAGAAACCCACGAATCATCAGGTTTCATCAAAGCTATTAAACTGCCAAAGTCGTAAGAGGAATTTATAATGGAATGTTAATCGAAGCTAATTATTCGTCTAAAATGAAATGAACAAAGAAAAATAATAAATAAATAAAATGAAAACTTCAACGTACCCATCAAAATTTGTACTTGTACATTCTTGTACTCTTTCGGGGTGGCGTTTAAATTGTAAAAACGATTCACAATTTTCACATCCTTCCTTACGAAACTGTTCAGTATTCTAGTTATTTAAATCAAATAAAAAAAAAAATTTTTTTGTTATTCATCTAGCATCAGTGTTGTTGCTAGCCTTAAGTCCAATATTTTTTTATTAGCTCTGGCCTTTGTCTAATTAGCCCTAACTTTAAGTTTCAGGTAGGGTTGGGGGCATGGGAAAATTTTCGGGCATGCCCCATGGGCATGCCTCTAGTTTTTTTGATTTAGAGGCATACC